GAAACCCCCAAACCATAACAAACCCTAGAACCCCTTACAACAGCTGGCTGCCTCTCTATTCTCCTTGGCCTTTGGCCGGGGGCAGTGACACCACCTGATCTCTCCAATAACACCATGGTCCTCTGAGGACAGACAGTGCAGCAACACAGTGTGTGATGTTCAGTGAGTTACTTTTAGACAAAGTGCTAGGTATTCAGTATCACTCTAGATAAAGTAGCAAGTTGTTGGCAACAGCACAGAGGGAAATGGACAAATGAAAAGCAGTAGTGATTCCTCTGGACCAGAGCAGGGGAGGATGGTATAATTGGAAGGGGCTTGCCTGCTGGCACATAGAACCAAATAGTCCTCTCCAGACAGTTCTGGTCTCTCTCTCTCTGTGATAGAGTTCATCTGGAAATGCATGCTGTCACATACTTCAATCTGGGCTATGGTAAGTCAAATCTTCAAAGACTAATGAGAAAATTGGGAGCATGAAATTAAAAAAAAATGCTTATATCATGGCACCCAGAATTGTGAGTAATATTTCCCCCTTTAAGATGTGATGAAATGGAGGGAAGCATGATTTTAAACATTCTCAGCCTCCCTCCTCCCCTGACTTTCCTCACCTCATGCAAGCTGGCCCTCTTTCTTTGTGTTCTTTCTAGAGTCACTCTTACTCTGGCTTCTTTATTTCAATGATTAAACATAAGCAAAGAGTCGGCATCCCCTTTCCCCCTGCTGTGGGAACCATTGGGTGGTTTGGGAGTTTTGGCTACACTGCTTAGACTCGCTCTATTCTGGGTTCCACTGATAGCTATAGAATATGAAGACAAAAGAGAAAGCTCAGCCCCACTCTCTAGAGATGCAGAGGCTCAGGCTCAACATTACAGAAGCACATTTCTATTTATTATATATTAGTTATTTTTTCATCACTGTGACCAAGTACCCGACAGGTTGTAAATCAAGGGAAGAAGGATTATTTGGGCTCTAGTTTATGGGGATATTCATGGTCCATCATGGTAGCTGGGATTAGCTTGGTCTGGGGGAGAAGGGCTTCTGTGACCCACCTTCCTCAAATCTTCACATATGAGGAAGCTGAGAATACTCAAGTTGGATCTTGGCTGCTTATCGTCCCTGTGGCCCCGTATCTGACAGCTAGGCCTCATGCCCAAGAGTCTCCACAAACTCCTAACACAGTGTCACCAGCTGGGAAATAAGTGTTCAAAATGATACTGTAAGGGAAAATTCACACTCAGGCATAAAATACATGATGGATAGAGACTGCTGTTGAAAATGTAATGTTGAAACTGGCTTTTGTCTTGTAGATTTTTAACACAGAGAACCGACTCTGGAGAGATGCATAAAACAAACCCCAAAATGCCAGCAGTGGGCAACATCAAGAGAGATTTTTATCTCTGGTGAATTTCAATGT